TAGGCAGTGACTTTTTTTCAAATCTGGAAACTATCATCATGAAAGCCATACTTGCTCGCGGTAACTCATTCTTATTCTGATAAACTAGTTTTGAGAAGAATACAATATTTTATAACAAAAACTCGATGCATAGGTTGTGCAAAAACCTTTAATTTGACTATACTTTTATAGCCAATACCAGTCCCTTCAAATGGTAAAATGTTAGGAGGTTCAGAGCAAAAATAATCTGCCATACATCTGCAAGATTTGATGTAATTATTTTAATTACAAGAATATTAACTGATACTATGAGATCTAGTAATATTAAAAAAATAATAAAATTTGGTTGAAAAATTAGAATTCAGCACAGGCAGGATAAACAAGGTTCTTAGAAAAAGAAATGTGTACTAATGAAAAAGCTAAGCAAACTTTTTTTACAACACCTGCCTGTATCTATATGGCATGTAGTGAAGTCTTTTGAAGTAGTCATAGTCCCAGTTTCATATGTTGAAAACACATGCACATGCAGATTTCCTGTAAACCCATAGTTTAAGCCTGTGATGACTTCGAAATTTTGATGCACACCTCAAAAGGAGAACAAATCAATTTCATCTTTCTATTTATTCAGTTTAGGGTGGTGAGGTAAAATTGAGTCAAACATTCAAGATGTACAATGACAGGTTCAAGAAATTTTCACAACTAATTTTTAAGGTAAGCCTACCTGGAACAATAATCTTGAGCTGATGATGCCCAACAGAACTATCTGTAGTAAGAGGGCAGGCTTTCCTTTCTTCATTTAGAGAAATAATGATGTTATCATCTTTCCACAAGCTCAGTGGAAAGTGAGAGTGAATGAGACTGATATTGTCTTTGTTACTTAAATAAATATCCAGAGCCAGGATAAAAAAAGTCAGACACGGTCTGCAAAACTCTCTTACTTAAATTGTTTACCAATTAAGCTAAAGCTTTATATTCTTGCTTTGTGATTATGTGGATGCCAATTACTGGTAATTTAACTTTTATGCATCAAAATACAAAAAAATGTTCTCTTCATCTATGTGCCCTGAACATTACAGGGGAGGAGGCAGGTTAAATTAAAAACATGAATTAAAATAAGAGGGCCCCCATTAATTTCAGTCCTAATTAAAGGAGGATCCTTGTTTTTCCAGATTCCCACCCTTTTAAAGTCACATATCTTGTGACCAATTCCTTATTTCAATGTTCAGTTTGGGTAGGACCATTGGTAAGAAACACCATGCATTAATGAAAGCTTGAGCTAGTGTATTTAATGCAATCTAAATAATAATATTACATGTTACAGTACGGTAACCATTACAGCAAAATTATATAATCACACAATTCCAAAAAAAGGAAGTCAGGTTATTGACTTGCCTGCTTCAACTTTTGAGGGCTTATGGTACAGAGAATTAAGACACAGTAAACAGCTACAATTAATACAAAGTTGAAAATTTGAAGATAAGTGATGAGAATAAAGAAAAATATAAACTTGAGAATAATTAGTTGATCCAATACTAAATTCTTAGAACTAACATTATAATAATTGTATAGTTGACAGTAAGGAGAATTACAAATTTGAACTGGGAGTTAAAGGGTTAAATTTTATTTGATCAAAAATATGAATGGCAATAGAGGAAATTAGCAACATACGCGCTACATTCATGGCTACGTCACAAAGGTTCGCCAAACTAGTGTCCATGTATCTCCCTCGGGTAAACATGGCGGAAACGCCGACAGCATCTTTAAATTACCACGAGAAAAGGAATTTTACGTGATCAAAGATGAAAAACCTAATCCATAAGAGATAAACATTGGATCGGAAGTCATCGTAGCTTCCAAAGACAAAGTCGGTTTTTCCCAAGGCAAAGTGACGCAGAAATATTACTCTTGGTATGGAGTTGAACTTGGCAACGGAGAGACGATTTGGGGCACTGTGGACGAAATCAGGCTACTGAAAAGGCCAATTTACTGTGAAAAAGAATACATAACGGCATGAAATATTACAGATTTTTTCGAGATATCTTTGAATGATAGTGAGAAGCAACACTTTATATCTTTAATTTTACATGATTAGGAAAGTGGGTACCCTTCTGTTTTAGTCTTCGTAGATTGTGTAAGAGACTGAATATCTAAGAGTTCCATAACTTACTCAATAGAGTCAACTCTCAATCTAATTTTTTAAAATTTTCTCTATATTAATGTGAGCAAGCTAGTGTTTATAAGTGAACATGGTTAGCCTAATTAAGTAACATCAGAAGACAAGTGATCAAAAGCTTTGAACTTGCAGATCGTCAAGAGTGTCTGTTTTTCGTATCTTTCACGCTTCATACGCTTTCAAAGAGACAGATAAAAAAAAGGATAAATAAATTGACTCCTAGCTAATCTTTGTTTCCAATTTTTTTTATTTTATCGACAAAAAGGAAATAAATTGTTAATAAAAGAAAAACTGTGGAGGCTTGGGATCAAGTGACGACATGAAAGTCAGGGGTCTGAATTTCTGACGTCATATTGGGTTCGCCTAGAAGCTTATGAAAGGGCTTTCATTTTCGTTTCACCTCGTGCGGACGTGTGCCATTTATATTTGTTCGTTCAACTGCTAATTTGTAATGCTGGAAGTGAATTTAAGTCATTGCTGTAAATAGCATATATAAGCTGTTTGTTGTAGTATATTTAGCTGCAAGCCAGTTATTTAGCGATCAAGCAAGCAACCGGCTGATTGACAAAAGCTTAGCATCTGAATTTTATCACCAAAAAATCAGTCTTGAGTGGTACGCACCAATTTTACCATGGAATGGTCTTGGGAAACCTTCTTATCGCCTTTAGGTGATGATGATCGGACGTCCGTTTCTTCTTCTCAAAAGGTGAAAGTTTCACCTAGTGAGTCGCTCGTACAGAGATTCTCGAATGATCTTCAATCAAAACATGAGGAGATGAAGGTAGAGAAAGACGATGCCATTACATCGGCCAAGGAAGCCCTCCACCTCTTGTTAAAAAATGATCAACCTTTTCAAAATCTAGAAGAGAAATGGAAAGCCTATCAAAAAGCCTTGAATATCAAGTCTGACCGAGACAGATCAGGTTCGGCTTGGACGATTGACATGCTGAAAAAATACATAAAACGCAGCGACATTGTCTTTATTCAACCTTCGTCTTTGCACAATACAGAACAACTAAAGAAAAACATCGTGGACAAGGTTGCACAGGCATTGGCATCCCTTTGTGGCAATCAGGGTGACAGAATCGACGGAAATCTTCAACAGTTCCATCGTATGCGCGACAGCACAGAAACCGACTCAAGAATGATTCTCGACGCAATCTTACAGCCACTTTGTGCCGCTAAGGGACTTACACTTCGGTGTGAGCAAACTCTAACTTGTGATGAGCTTCCCAATAACAGATATGATTACATCATTTACTACGAAAAAAAACCGATTGGTATTGTCGAAGCTAAACGTCAAAGCTGCGTTTGTGGTAAGTCCGTGGCGCAGCTAATTAATCAACTCCTGCTTCTCTCTGCTGAGGACCCATATGTTTTCCGATTTGGTGTTTTGTCTGACGCACACCGTTTTATTTTGGCTGGGGTTTCGCAGAAGAAAGTGGTTTTCTTTCAAACAAACGTTGATGCCATCCAAATAAGATTTATGAAATCTGAAGAAAATCTGCTTTCCATCACAGATGAGATAGCACGGTTGGTTGAACTTGCAGTTGAATCGATGGGAAATGGTCAATCGAAAGATATCTCCGAAGAGTTGCTTGCCATGCAGTAGACAGCAAATTCTTTTCTTGAGAGCGATACATTTAGGAGTCCTTGGAGGAAGATCAAGGTGAAAGATCTGACTAAGTATACTACTATGATGACGGAAGCTTACCTGGGAGGTATAAAACAATGGCAAGGCTTTGAAAACTTCCCTGTTGTGATAGAGCAGCTGTGTTTTTATTGTATTTTATGGTATATTACTTATTAGCGCTAATACAATGGTAGTACCAATACCAATAGCACGGAAAAATGTGACTTTCTACACATTGACGAAGCTTTAAAACTTAGACTTTGTAGACCTTATCTTTTGAGCCATTCGCTCGGTAAAGTGAACTCTTTACTTATAAAAACTTCCATATTTAAAGATTTAACGCTTGTATTCCGTTGGAAAGGCTGGACATTTCCAGTTCAAATTCCCAAATAATTCACAATAACAGCTCCAAATCACTGTAACTGCATCGATTGAATCCTTTTTTGCTTCATAAGTTTCTGAGACAAGTGTGCATGGTGTACAACCAAGAGACATTTCAATGTAAAATGTCTGAAGAAGATGAGAAACATTTTAAACAGGCAGAAGAATGTCACATTTGTGGTAGATCATACACAGAGAAAGAAATAAGATTATGATATTATTGGCCACATTTCAGGAAGATACAGAGGATCTGCACATAAAGATTGTAATGTCACTCACTTTAGATTAAGATTTGAAGATATAAAGATACCAGTTATTTTACATAATCTGTGAGGTTATAAAATCCATTTCATTATGCAAGAGATCGGTAAAATAGCCATTAAATACGCATACAAGAACAAAAAAGGAGAAGACAAATAGATGGATATAAATTTCATGCCAAACAACATGGAAAATTACATGGCTTTTATGTTAGGAAAGTATTTAGTTTTTCTTGATAGTTTGCAATTTATGCGCTCATGTCTTGACAGATTAGCAAGCAATTTACATGATGAAGCATTCAAATACACATGAGTAAGCATGAGTATTCTTGATCTGTCAAAATCTGTATGATTTCCATTACAATAACATCAAAAGCAAATACCATGACAAAGCAAAATTATTACCGGTATTCAGACACTGAAAGTTCAACATATGAAATAGGAACAGAAGACGTTTGTAAGGACTTTTGGGCCGTAAAAGATAAATTCGATGACTGCGAATATCCGGAAAATTCACAATTTTTCGATAAAACAAATAAGAAAGTGATCGGTAAATATAAAGATGAAGCTTTTGGCGTTCCCATAACCAAATTCGTTGGCTTGAGATCCAAAATGTCTACATACACTCAAGAAGATGATTAAGGCGGCAAAACAAAAAAAGAATTAAGAAGAATATTTTCCAAAAAAAAAAAAAACATGAGCACTAAAAAAATATTCTTTTCCACAGTAGACAAATATATCATTTTAGTAGTTACGAACTGGGCAAAGTATCGTCATCTTGCTTTGATAATAAGCGCTGTATACAATCAGACGGGATTAAAAGTTACGCTTGCGGACATTTCACTCAAGCATAAAATCCTCCTATTGGCTGCTCGGTGGGCTTGGTATCTTAACTTCTGACTTCATTTTCTTGAGAGCTTTCCGCTTGGTAGGGCGTTTAATGGTATATTTTCTGTCTCGCTCTTCCAGCAATTTTTTAAACTCTTTTGTATAAGCGCGCCTCTACTTTTCATTAAATAAAACTTTATCGCATTCTTTCAAACGTCAAGAACCTTACGAATGCTGTCCCTAGTTTGATCAACATCGCTTTAAGTAATGCACTGAACAAAATATTTCACAGAAAACGTAAATGCAAATCTTTATCTTTAACCAGTGATGCACACAAAGACAGATTCCTGCATTCTGTTCTCACAGGTCTTGATTTGATTTTGCAGAGTAGTCGCTGACTCGGCCATCTTGATAAACTTTTCGCCAAAATTTTTCGCTGAACTTTTCGAGTAAACTTTACCTCAATTTCTTATGTCTTTTCTTATCGACTTGTTCTTTACTAATTGACATCAATGCGTGGATTGTTGAATAATGATGCAGTTTAGATCCTCAGAACGTGATTATGAACGCATAATTACATATAGTATAATCATGGTAACACAAGACAAAATTATTCAATATATGATAAGCAAAACATGGTAACATCGAACATGTTTCTTCAATATACTATAACCAAAAAACAAGCGCATTTCACGTTGGCGTGAAATGGTTACATTGAACATCTCTTAGTAGACTAGTAGTTGGGCGGTTGGCGCGCAAGTTTTTTGAAACTGCGCTCCTATACCCTCAACTACTACACTAATAATGTAAGAAAATTGTGGAGACTTGGGATCAAGTGATGTTAAGGAAATCAGAGGTCCGAATTTCTGAGGTCATATTGAGTTCGCGTAAAAGCTTATGGTAGCACTTTCATTTTCGTTTCACCTTGTGTGGAAGGGCGCCATTTCTACTCGTTGGTTATATTGCAACTTTGTTATTCTAGAAGCGAATTTGAGTCATTGCTGTATATAACATAGGCTATTTCTTTCCGTATATTTAGCTGCAAGCTAGATTTAACCTATCAAGCAAGCAACCGGCTGATTGACTAAGAGCTTGGTATCTGAATTTTATCACCAAGAAATCAGTGAGAGTGGTACGTGCCAATTTTACCATGGGATGGTCTTGGTAAACCTTCTTGTTGACTTTGCGTGATGACGATCTGACGTACAAATCTTCTTCCAGCTAGGTGAAAGTTCAACCCCTGCAAATTTCGCCTGATTCGCTCGTAGAGGAATTCTCGTTGAAACTTTTCTGTCAAGATATGGAGAAGAAGAGGGAGAAAAGGTAAGCCGTTGTTTCGGCCGAGGATGCCCTCTGCAGCTTGTTTCCATCAGAGTTTCGTCCAACTGCACTTAAAGATTTAAAAAAGAAATGGAAAGCTTATGAAAATGCCCCGAGACGGTTCAGGTTCGACTGGGACGATTGAAACCCTGCAAAAATACATAAAACGCAGCGACATTGTCTTTATTCAACCTTTGCCTTCGCATGCTACGACACGAAAAACGCAAAACATCTTGGACAAAGTTGTACTGGCATTGGCATCCCTTTGTGGCAATCAGGGTGACAGAATCGACAGAAATCTTCGACGGTTACATCGTATGCGCGACAGCACAGAAACCGACTCAAGAATGATTCTCGACGCAATCTTACAGCCACTTTGTGCCGCTAAGGGACTTACACTTCGGTGTGAGCAAACTCTA